TCATCCTCAAACTGATGGGCAATCTGAGAGAACTATTCAGATACTTGAGGACATGTTGAGGGCTTGTGTTCTAGATTGGAAGGGTTCGTGGGATCAACACTTATCCATGGCTGAATTTGCATACAATAATAGTTATCAGTCCAGCATCCACATGGCATCGTTTGAGGCTTTGTATGGTCGAAGGTGTAGATCACCTGTTCGTTGGACGGAAGTGGGCGAAAGGAGCATTTTAGGCCCAGAATTGGTGCATCAATCTTCTGAGATTGTGCAATTGATCAAGGAACGCCTTTGTGCTGCACAAAGCAGGCAGAAAAGCTATGCGGATAGAAGGAGACGAGACCTCGAGTTTGAAGTTGGTGACCATGTATTTTTGAAGGTGTCACCCACTCGAGGTGTTCTTAGGTTTGGCATCCGGGGAAAATTGAGTCCGAGGTATATTGGACCATATCCCATCCTAGAAAGGATTGGCGAGGTAGCTTATAAATTGGAGTTGCCTGGAAATCTAGCGGGTGTTCATGATGTGTTTCATGTGTCTTTACTTCGGAAGTATGTTCCCGACCCGAATCACATCATTAATCCCGAACCAATTCAACTCCGAGAGGATCTCACTTATGACGAGCACCCGATCCGCATTTTAGATTTCAAGGAGAGAATAATGCGGAGAAAGACCATTCGTTTTGTTAAGGTCCTCTGGGACAACCATTCGGTTGAAGAAGCTACTTGGGAGTTGGAATCCAAGATGAGGTAGGAACATCCGCACCTCTTCCAAGATTGAGGTATGAGTTTAGGGGACTAAACTCCTTTTTAGGAGGGGTGGATGTAATACCCCAAAATTTCCTAGAGCATATAAGTTGAGTTAAAGACTTAATGGCGAGGAAACATTATTAATGGACCTAACCGTCAATTTTTCAAACCTTAAAGGGGTTAAAAGGTTATTGGATAAGGCCGGCTGACTCATCTCTTTTTTTTCTTTTTCTTCTTTCTTTCTTCCTTCCCAGCCATTTTAGCGTCTGCCTTGTTCTTTCTTCCTTTGCAGCCAAACACTACCAGCCTTCACCGACACCTACTTCTCTCAGAAATTGGTAAGAGAACTTGATGATTTTTGTTCTCCTCTTGCCCAAGAACAAGTCTAGAACTTAGAACTTCTCTCTCTTGCAGAAAAGCCGTTGGATCTGCTCTGCTTCTCCCTTCCCTGCTGCCCGCTGTTGCTGGGTACAAGCTCCAGTTTTTCCTGGTAAAACCAGCCTAGAAACTCCTCTTTTCAACCTTGATGTATGTTGGGTTCACCCTAATCTTTGTTCCTTTCAATTGCTAGTGGTTCCCGAATTTCTCCCCAATTTTCCCGCCGGCTCTTCCCCTCAATCTACAGCTCCAGCTTGCTAGTTGAGGATTTTTGGTAAGTTAGCTTCTCTAATTTCCGAAAATTGGTGGGTTAAGTGCTGATTTGTGAGTTTAAGTGGTTGTATGAAATGGGCTTGCGTTGTCTAAAAATTCTATTGAAATAGGGATGAGTTTTGGCAATTTGAAAATGGGTTTTGGTTGATGATTTGTGTAGGAAATTAGTGGGTTTGGTTGTTGTGTGATGTCCGAG